AAGATAGGAATATTTGCACAAGTTTTGCACAATTTAAATTGAGTTCGATGAATACACCAAAACTTTTTGCGGAAAATATTATGTCTATAAATTTCGCAAAGATTGCATAGGTGGACAAGTTGTTCATGAATGCACTTCACAAGTCCGGGCGAATCCGGATTCATTTTCGGTGCGCGAAAAACACTACATAAGTGGCGAAACTTGACAGCAGGAGAGTCACGGAGCGCGCGGAGACGAACGTGTTCACTCGGCTCTTTGTTGAAGCGAAGGTAAATATCAGATTTCACTTTCCACCGTTCGACGCTTCGTTCTTTTGCAGGATTGTTTGTGTCATTTGCACGTCCATGTCCGAGGAAGGTTTTAGTTTAGTAACGTTCTTGTCTTCCTTTCTTCATCCTTACGTGTACATCCCAGCTGCCGCACTCGTTGGGTACTCCGCAATCAAGTTCAAGACACCAAGGTACAATATGCTAGGTTAACTCCCATTTACTAACCCTGCTTGCTTATCTGACAATAAAGGTCGCTTTAAAAAAAAAAGCGGAAGATGGACTCGGAACGTGAGAAGAGGAAAGTCGCGAGTGATTGTGGGGGAGAGGTGCCAATCGCGTCACCAAGTGGTAGTGGCAAAAGGAAATCGGTAACGGAGTGCGAACCACCAACTAGCGTCCCCGTTGAAATAAGTTTTTTAGACACTGTGGAAACGAGAAGCAGGAAACCAACGATAAGCCTGTGCCAGCTCGCGAACGAGATCAGGTCAGACGGTGGACTTCGGGAGTTTCTGTTAATCTGGGGGATTAATTCCAGCCACGAAATCGTGTCAATTGTGCGGGAGTGTAATGACTTTAGATTTTTCGCGAACATTTATTGGCGAGTTTCGGTGCCGAAAAAAGCACGAAATGAAAGGAGACACCCGCGTTTCGCGCATAAATAAAACTTGGTTCGAGGGTTGTAAGATGGACTTTCGGAAAGTGCTCATAATAGTGTATTGTTTCGCGCGTGAAATGACATACGACCAATGCATTGTGGAAGCAGGTCTGAGCGAAGATGATACCGGAATATATCATCTAGAGCGAAGATGATCCGCTTAAACCGCTTTCACTAAAACTATCATTTAAAAATGACCATCCAAATGTATTCCTTAAACTTCTTAAAAAACTCTGCCTAGAAAAAGCGTTCTACCACATAAATGAGTTTCTAGGTGATAGCTAAATACAGAGATGTCTGAGTGAAGATTGTCTCTGAGGAATTTCTGTATATAACTGTTAAATACTCGACAATTGAAAACTAACCTATTATTGTTGTAGATTTTATTGTACATGTGTCTAAATTAAGTGTTTTGAGGACAACACCTGACACGTACCATAACCGGTCTCAACAGCTTTGTATGTACTTAATTGAATAAATAAATAAATAAATAAATAAATAAATAAATAAATACCATCCGAGGTCGAGCAACGGTGTCGGACTGGTACACTTATTGTAGGGAAGTGTGCACTTTAGCCCTCGACCGCGATTACGAGAATGAAGGCTTTATCGGAGGAGACGGACACGTAGTTGAAGCGGACGAAATGAAACTTAGAAGGAGAAAATATCATCGCGGTCGAGTGGTAGAAGAAAGTTGGGTGTGGGGTGTGATTGATCAGGACACCAAAGACTTTCGTTTGGAAATTTGCCCTGGGAATAAGAGAGACGAGAAAACCTTCCGGAAATTTTTTAATAAACACGTGTTAAACGGAACTTAAGTGAATACAAAGAGCTGGGCGGTAGACGCGTTCCTTAAGGATGACGGCTACATCCACGAGGTAGTGGAACACAAACATACTTTCGTGACACCCTCAGGAATCCACACGAACACTATCGAGTCCCAGTGGAGGCCGTTCAGGCGCCGCCTCACACGAGGAGGAGTAAAACCTGAAAATCTCACGGATCACTAACTTGTGCGAATACCTTTGGCGATTCGAGCAGCGGAAAATGAAGAAGGACCCATATACGGCGCTCCTCAATGAAATAGTGAAGGTTTACGACCCCGATAACCCGGCAGTGTAGGAGAGGAAACGTGAAGCCTCGGTACATGAAGGTAAGCTGTCAATTTTGAATGGACTACTAGACAAGGCACGAATTTAAGCATTCCGATAAAATGTTCTTAACCAAAACTTCACGTAAAACACGATGCGCACAACGAAATTGACCGAAAGCGACTCCTTACGAAGATATTTACGATTGTTGATGCGTGAATTCAAACCACCCGCTCATAAAAACCCAATGCTCTACGTGACTCACATAGCGCGCTAAACGTTATCATGACAGTCTCTGCGTTATAAAAATCTGGCAACCTCAATCTTGACGCTTTGGCTCAGCTATAGCAAGTTGCTTATAGTTTGAACAACACATGGTGGGAAATGAACATAGCTCGAATGAGAAGCTTGCTAAAACCGTTGTAGTGCACGATTTGACTCACGTAGAGCTTTAAATTTCTTGTGAGCGGGCAGTTCAAATTCCTCGTAACCAATGTGAAATAAAAACGTTAATATCTTCGTTAGAAGTTTATTTCAGTAATTTTCGTTGCGCGAATCATGTTCTACGTGACATTTTGGTTAAAAAACATGTATCAGATCGCTTAATTTCGTACCTTGTCTAGTGGTCCATTTCCCGCTCTAGAACAGCTGCTCCGCGTCCGCGCGTCATATCGGGTGGTGTCAGCGGACTAGCAACCTGCCTGGCGTCAGCAGGAGAGGCCCGTCTGCACCTCAATTAGCGCGGTGCATATTCTGAACTGCCTTGACAGTTCAGAGAATGAGCCGCTGGTTTTTCGGAACTCTTCGATTGTTGGAGGTTTCTTTTTGAGTTTTCTCGGTTTTTTTAAAGTGTGTCCCCACCCGGGACCCCATTCCCTCTCACTTTTCCCGAGTGTGCGTCAGGGGAAGGAGGATTAACGTTATTTTCGGGAATGGTCCATAAATACTGAACTATAGCCGCGACTTGACTGTTGATTCTTATGTAAAATGCTGATTCTATCGTGAGAAACACGATGGTGCCACTTGTTTTTTTCTGAAATCAACTCCCAAGCTCAAAAAAAGCTCTCAAAATGAGACCAAAATGGAGGGAATATCCCACCGTAGCCTGAGAGTCCACCTCTACATCAAGACAAACTCTCCATGCAAAGATAGGGAGCAAGTACATAAGCAGGGTTGCTGTGTTTTCAGTTTTGGAGTCCCCAAATAAAGTGGCAGCCCTGTCGATGTATTTGCTCCCTATCTTTGCATGGAGAGTTTGTCTTGTTGTAGATGTGGACTCTCAGGATAGCATGGGATATTCCCTCCATATTGGCCTCAACTTGAGAGCTTTTTTTGAGCTTGGTAGTTGATTTCAGAAAAAACCAGTAGCACCATCGTGTTTCTCGTACTCTCACATCTCGTACTCTCAACTTTCACATACAAATCAACAGTCCAATCGCAAATTCCTCACACATGCAACATCTCCATTAATACAAAAAATCCATTTCTGATTATAAACTACACAAAAAAGGGATAATATGCCTCTGAATGAACCTTGAGTTCAACTTCAGGCCCGCCTGATTTGATTTTTTAGATTCTTGGTGCAAGGTCTCAGGTATATAATCACTCTGCTTCCCATGAAGTTTCAACTGACGCTGATCGATTGACTTGTATTCGTTTGTTTCAGGACTCGCTAGGTGAGGCGTCTGAAAAGAATGATGCGTCTCTCCTGCACGTTTTGACAAACGGCGAATCTTAAGACCTCGAGATCTCCGGACGACTCCGGGTCCTCCGGCCTACGATGATGACCAATGGAGTGGCGTGAATTGCGATATATCGTTTGTTATGCCATTTAAACCTATGGAAAAAGATCGATTATCAGGGTGTTCGCAGCGAACACCTTAGTCATCGATTCTTTACCATAGTTTCAAATGGCAAGATATCGATAATCGATTATTCACGCCACGCCACTGATGATGACCCGCGAGTTGCAATGTTGTGGACCACGCAAGCATCAAGAGTACCGCTTATTCATTCCTCAGCGGCGTTTCTGAAGAACGCGATGACCAAAAAAGAAGGGGAAAAATAAACACATGAAGGGAATTGTTTTAAAAAGATCAGCTTGGAGACTAGCGTAATGTAAGAGGTAGCGAACATTCATAAAGGGAGATTATTGTGAGGTTGTTCTATACTACCGTCCAACGCAAAAGCGCCGTACAAATCCATTCCAGCGGGCCGATTATTGAAACTGATGGACAAGGCTATAGACTAAGAAGACGTAGGGAGTATGGAGCGATCCTATTGGTTGAAATGGGTGGTTCCTGTAGACTAAGGGAGAAAATGATGGACTGACTGTCGGGTCTTTAGCGGGTTGCCGTTAGTTAGTCCATTACCTGTCTCTTATGTCCATTGCCACCACCCGCTTCCACCAATAGGATCCCAGGATCCCTCCAAATCCCTTTTGTCGTCTTTGTCTATAGCTTTGTCTGTCAGTTTCAATAATCGGCCCGCAGATTTTAAAAAAATCCTTTTTCAGACAAAGCGCTACGTTACAAGGAAACCTGGCGACTTCCATGCTCTATATTTTCATTTTCTTTTGCCAACAGTATAACAAAGTCATTCCGAAATTGCAAAGGATGGATGTTTGCAGCCTTTCGTGCTGTGGAGAAGTTTGTCGGAGTAAGATGTGTCGCATCTGAAATGGAGATACGGCTTTTTTGCGTTGAACGACAGTACAGTCGGATTATTGTCCTGGATAAATTCCAGCATAACGTTTCCGCACACTTTTCCAGCCCATATTGTTTCAACACACCTTTCTCAAAATATCATTTACGCACAGTTTTACCGATAACGTTTCCAAGCACTGCACTATTTGGCAACGCTGTCGTGCACGGAAAATACGCGAGTTAAAGGAAAAGATGAGCAAAATAAGAAAAAAATAAATAACTTACCAAGAAGTCACTTCTGCAGGGAAAAGATACTGTCACTGCCATCACTGGTTCAGGGCTGTGTTCTTCATCAACATATTTTTTGGTTAATGGTTGGTTCGTGCGTTCAGATCTAGGGCACTTTTCTATGGCATATACCACAGCATAATCGGAGTCATCTGTGATAAAGGAGCCATGTTTGGTTTCACCTGGTTTTCGTAAGTCGAGAGTGCTGAACATCGAAGTGTTGCCAAAAGTTGTGCGGAAACGTTATGCAGCTGCAGAAGTGCGGCCCCCCAAAAATACAACATGTCCTCCACGCTGGACTGTGTCCGGTATAGTTTTCTAAAAGCTTTTTCAAGTATCTAAGAAAATGCAATTCTTCCAAACTGAATACTCCCTAAAACTCCACTTTGCAGGTTGCCAAAAAGCTCTCATGAGTTTTCATTAGATTTAAGTTGTGGTCTTCCGTACGAAAAGCACCAGGTGGTGGAAAAGATTGGGAGACGATGCTTCACTACAGACTAGACTCCTGAATTTATTGCACTATCATGCTTGTTGTTGTTGTAAATTTGAGTTTCAAGAAAGCATTATAAAAATTTCAATGTGGAGAAGATGCAACAATGAGATTTTTCTTGAGTCTTGGATTGACATGAATTTGCTTGTTGCAATATCAATTCATTAATTGAGAATGTTAGGAAGCTTCGTTTGAAATGAGCGATGAAAATATGTTACTCGTAGCTTTCTAGCAAATCCCTTCAATGGATCACTAAACAGGGTAATATTTACAGTGCCGCATGAGATTTGCGTGCATATGGCGCATGGTGGCATATGGTGCTGAATATGGTGTGCATTTAACATGCACGCCATGTTCAGAAGAGCTCGAAATTCAACTCAAGAGCAAGACATTGCCATTCGAAAACATAGTATTCTCAAAATAACACCTTGGCTTTGTGGTTTTTCACATTTAAACCTGTCCAATCGTAAATGTGGTTTACTAATTTAACTTCCGACGCCGCGTCGCGCTGACCACACTGTATTTGGCGCAATGCGTGAAGTATTCATGCAGTCTTGTAGGCGCTATGCGTTTCACGTCGACCGCTGCTGACCGCACTGTGTTTGACACAATGCTTGAAGTATTCATACAGTAATGTAGGCGCTAATATGTGTTACAAACCGACCGCCGTGCCGAGGGCTTTTCCTTTTCATCTCAAGTCCTCGTCATCATTGCGCTATGCTCTGCGCCGTTCCAGGCCAAATTGCGTGTTTGATTTATCTCTTAACTCGACTAATTAAAGGTGCTGCCTCTTCCATCACCGAAAGACGTCAAAATTAGAAATTACTATCCTCTCAGGAAATGTGAGATTTTGTCGCCTTTTCGGATTTGTAATTTTTCTTCTGAAACCGATTTTTTTTATGCCTACATTTAAAAAAAAATTCAAAATTTGCCGCCCCCCTCCCTAAATTTGCCGCCATGAGGCCACCCCCTAAATCCGGCCCTGTACCGTGGATGAAACGGCGCGGGATATCGAAGAAGAGGAAGGAAAAAAAACTTTACAGAAGTTGGTCTTTGAAAAGAAACTCATCCTTCGATGTGAAGTTAGGTTCCACGAACACGACTCATCGCCTATGACGATGCACAGTCTGTAATTGTTCCTTAACTTGTCGAGGAAACTTCAGCACTGAGTGAAAGTTATTTTATACTGTAACACACACTGGGTGCCCTCTGTGACATAATTAGACTTCAGTTTTTATGAGGTCGGAAGTTTGAACCATTAATTTCAAAAAGCTTTACTTGCATTTGAGTTGAATTTGGCAACACTTGTTGTTGCGTATCTGTCACAGGCGATTAGTTAAATCAGGCATTTCATCAAATGTCTAGTAAGTAGTCAAATTTTGACGAATTACGGAATTTTGTCAATTTATGTCAAAGAGCTTACGAATTTCAAAATTTTGGCAAACATAAATCATAAAATTAATGAACTCTTCTTCCTTCTTCCTCTACAAAAGCTTTACATGTATTATAATTTTAAAAATATTGTATTTTGAGACATGCTGAAGATATCAGGACAAAGATTCGTTTGAGAGCTAAAACTCATTCTAAATACTTTTGTATGATGCACATTTTTATAGAAAATTCATTCTTTCAGGCGTGATGAATTTTTTTATCTGTAATTAGGAGAAGAAACTGAAATATTTTTGTAAGTTAGAATATTTGACCATTCGCCTAGTCATTTGACAAAATTCCTAATTTTACTAGTTGCCTTCGACATATTCACCGTGAAAATTAGATGAGTAAACGGCATGCATTGTCATGTTAAATTTATACTCTGTCTAGTGATTCATTCTCTGTGGAGTCGAGCGGCCATTTTAGAGCTTGCAGGTATATTTTCACCATGACATTTGTTATTCACGAAGGGTCGATCCGCTCTGGTCACGAATAGGTACGCAAGAACACCGTCATCGGTCGAACCCTTTCACTTGAGTTCATTGAACTCCGAACATCAAAATTAAAAAATTACATATCATGTTGTTTTCTTTTTCTTTGACCTTCTGATTTCATTTAATCTGTACAGCTTACCGCGTAAGGTGCGTTAATGTTAAGTTTCATTTACCTCGTATTTTGTTGAGCTTAAGATGTATTTATGAAGTAGCTTTAAATCATGCTACTGGCCTGTAAAGTTGCATTACAGTTATAATTTCCCGAAATTGTTTCCACTAGCCGTTAATTTTCACGAAGCTTGTAGGACGCCTTGAATTTCAACCCTCACGACGTTATCGCTGTATAGGACTGAATTAGGCACAGTACGCGTTAGGCTAGAGTGCCTAAGCTTGAACCGTTAAAAAATTGCGAAGAAACAGAGTTGCGGTAAAAAATATAGATTTCTAGTTCGCGATGCTGGTGACTTTTCTTAAGTCTCACGAACACTGATTCGAGGTTCGGAGCCAAAATTCTGATAATTATTAATTAGTGACATCGGAAATTTGAAATGAGCTGATTTCGATGCAGCGCCAAAAGTCGTCGTCAAACTATAAATGAAGTTCTTGTATATCTTGCGATAATTAATCCCAAGTAAAATTTCAAGAAAACAAGGTAATGCCAATGGTTCTTTCCGTGGACCATGGTCCTTCAGGCATACCAAACCGGACCTTTTTTTTATGCCTTTGACTGTTAACTATTTGAGATGAGGGGGTTGAAGGCCATTTCGACAACGATTTTTTTGTCCGCACACCTGGTTCTTCTAGAAGTTTATGTCCAAGCGTTTTATCGGTAGGGGAGTTCGTGCCGTAATACCTTAATTTATTTTTCGAGGAAAGCTTCGTACTCTTAAAGGATGCCTATCATTCTTAAAATGTTGGAGCGCCTTCAATTTCGTTTCATTCTGTGCAACACCTTCGTTGTGAAATAGTTGCTTGAAGCGCCGCGCCGTGGCACGCTGCGGCGCGGCGGGCGGCGGGCCATCTCTCAACGCGCAATGGCGCCTACAAACCTAAGCGGATACTTCAAACATTGCGCAATGCGTAAAGTATTCCCTTAGGTTTGTAGGCGTTAGTGCGCGTTTCGCGCCGGTAGCACGCCGCTCCGCTGTGTTATGGCTCGTAATATTTAAAATCGCGGAGTCGGTGTTTTTCAGTGCATGATTTTGAAATTTTTGCACACTCTACATGGATTTTCCTCATTTAAATTGATGATAAAAAAGAATTGTATTTGAGGAAAATATAAAATGTGTTCTGTAAATATTACGGTGGTTCTGTGTCAAATTTAATGATTCCCAAAGCACTTTATTGTTTGCTTTTATATTTTGTGCTTTTAATATGCTTCAGCGCGGTGTTCGCGCAACCAAACGCCCGAAATCGGAAGTATTTAACTCTAAAAGATCGATGTACATAGTCATACGGTTTAAAACTAATGAATGCGAGCCTCTTGGTTTTTCTCCCATTTTTATTCATTTTTGTATAGTTTATTTCAACATAACTTTTATTTTCTGCGTGGACGTAAACTACTAGACAAAACAGGTGCACGGGCAAAAAATCGTTGCCGGGATGTCCTGAAACCGATGAGGGTAGTAGATTTACCCATAACAGATGATATCTCTGATAACAATACGTGGTATCAAACTTCTGGTTATGCCTTGCAAGATCAAATTTGTATATTCCGGCATACCTCCGTGTTTTTTTTTTAAATTTTGTAGCTTAATTAACAAGATGAGGAGGTTTTTTTTAGAAGTAATGATTGAATTCAAGTATTGAACATGTGCTTAACGTTATTTGCTGTAAAATATACATTAGGAGTTAAAATTCTCAGTTGTTTCATTTATTACCTCTTTATCCCCCGACCACAGCTGTAGTGCTTAGTGTAAAAATAAGGACTCTGTAAAGGCTAAGGGAAGAAAAATG